TAGGATACGTTGAAAATTGCAAAGGATATCGTGTATATGTTCCAAATATGAGAGATGTAATTATAAGTAGAGATGTATGTTTTAAACCAGAAAACTTTACAGCTCATTTTAAAAAACCTGAAATTTTAGTTGACAATTCTGAAAGTGAGACTAATGAAAGTGAATACGAAAATAATAAAATTGAAGATGAATCAACTGAACATAATAATAGTGAAATGGATCGGCGATTGCGAGATAGATCACAGATTCGTATGCCAGATTTTTATGGTTGCCCTGTTACATTTATTACACAAAGCTTGCCTTTAAATTATAATGAAGCGTTAAAGTCTGATGAAAATGTATCTGAACAAAATAATTGTAATGCACCTTACCGCGAAGCAATAGGAAATTTAATGTTTTTACAAGTTGTTTCAAGGCCAGATATAAGTTTTTCTGTTAATGTAGTTTCCCGAGAGCTAGAAAACCCGAAGCAGCATCACTGGACGTTAGTTAAGAGAATATTTCGTTATTTGAAAGGAACGATGGATTTGGGAATTTTATACAGTAAAAATAATAATATTTTTGAGACATATAGTGATGCTGATTATGCAGGTGATAAGAAAACTCGGAAATCTACATCTGGAATTTTGTGTAAATATGCGAATGCTGCAATAACGTGGCAAAGTAAAAAAACAACAATGTGTAGCTTTATCAACAACAGAAGCCGAATATGTAAGTGCAGCTCTAGCAAGTAAGGAAATGATATGGCTAAAGAAATTGTTTTTGATTGTAACATTAATTTAAGTAACTACATCTTGTTTATAGATAATATAAGTGCGATTAAGCTAATCAAAAATCCTGAATTTCATCAACGAAGCAAACATATAGATGTTAAATATCATTTTGTACGCGATTTATTTGAGAAAGATGAGATAGATGTAAGGTATGTAAAGAGTGAAGAGCAGATCGCTGACATTTTTACTAAAGCTTTGCCAAAGCCCAGATTTTTGTATCTAAGAGAGAAATTGGGAATGAAGAATAAGGGACAAATTTGTTATAGAGATGTTGAGTTTTAGGGAGGGTGTTGAGGATTGATCTCGAAAAACTCATCATCAAGTGAGCATTTGAGCTAACGGTAAACACAGTCGCCGGCTGATCGCACATTTGTCTCTAGAATAAGAAACCGAATGTTCTGGATTATGAAATAGACGCAAACATAGAAGCATAAGGAGACATCCAGAACATTCGATATGCAGTAGAAGTAGGTATATAAGCGAGCTGTAAGTCGAGCCAAAGTTCATTCAGTAAGTTCATTGTGTAAGATCAATGTCAGTGTGTCGGCTCGGTTAGTTAAGTTCAAATTGTCGCGGTACGTGAAGAAGTGTACTTGTTACTGAATATTGTGTTAAATAAACTTTTTGTGTTGCGCCTACATATACCGTGTTTCATTTAAGAAAAACCTTCAACACTTTTAAAGCACCGCGTAAATTCCAATTGAAATTCTGGAGGCGTCGCGCCAATAATGTCGTACATTAAGTTGACTTTTGTTTTGTTATTTGGTATACAGATATTTATATATGTAGATACACCTTTTTTGGCCACAAAACAAGTTGTTATATTGTGGATGTGGCCGTGGCTGTGGCTCGGGCTGTGACTCGGGCTGGGTCTAGGCTATCTAGTGCATTGGATATTCTCTTTAATGGTCTTGGGTGTTCTAAATGCGGGTATTAAATGATACGTAAAAAGCTAACTGCCTCACAAGTGGACACCGTTTTGCATAAATTCCCAGCAAATGGCGACAGCGAAAATAAACAGGTGTTCAACAGGATATTAAATTTTGTGTTGTCGTCTTCGACCAAAACTAGTGCGTAGAACTCTCTTAACTATGGCCATTACCATGCCAATCACAAGCATTTGTTTTTTTCTACTCAAAAAAAAAAAAAATTCCAAAGAATTAGCATAAAAAGCTGGCAATTAGGCTTGCCTAAGATAAATAGAAATTCCCATTTATAAAATAAATGCGACAGCAAAAACTCTTTGGCTAGATTATGCCACTTTAAATTTACTGGGGTACAGTTCCCGAATTTCAAATGCACATCGATCCCCATTGATTAACAAGTTTATTTTACTCATTAAAATTAATTTAAATATACATTTTTGTATTCAAAATTTCTACTCTGATAAGCTAAATTTTAAATATATAAAAATCGTAAATTTTTCAAATTAACAAATAATTTTAACACAAAAAACCCACTAAACTAACTCGACTAATTAATTAATATACCAAATATACACTGGCACTATTATTATCTATATCTGGCTTGCTTGAGTCAATCCTGAGTGTCTTTCACATTAATGAACTGAATTGAAAGAAGCTGACTTTCAATTTGCCGCTTCTACACCCTTATTTGAATTCAATTTACCTGCCAACTTCTACGGAGATCAAGTATACATTAAGTCCATCATTATGCCACCTTAATGTGCGTCCAATATATCTAACAGCCCCATTCAAATGCCAAATGGATCTTCGATCTTCTACCTGCCATGCACCTTTATCTGCCTGGCAGCCCTGGCCAGCACATTTTTGCGAAACTTCCTGAACTGATTGGTTATTCAAGACTTTACAGCTTTCTAATTTCTAATTTTGTTTTATTGCGGCATGTCTAGAATATTGCCCATGTTTAACATATTCCATCAATAAGACCTTTTAATTTATGCATATATGGATAACTGCAAATAGAATAAATTCATTACATGCATGCCAAATTAGTTACGTTTCGAATTACAAATTTCCAAACATATCTTACGATATCTGCGATCTTTTACTATAATTATTCTATTAGATATAGACCGTATAGTATTACATAGGTTAGCAAAATCAGAACTATTTTAGGATGAGATGATGAGTACATACATACATACATAGTACATAGTACATAGTACATAGTACATAGTACATAGTACATAGTACATAGTACATAGTACATAGTACATAGTACATAGTACATAGTACATAGTACATAGTACATAGTACATAGTACATAGTACATAGTACATAGTACATAGTACATAGTACATAGTACATAGTACATAGTACATAGTACATAGTACATAGTACATAGTACATAGTACATAGTACATAGTACATAGTACATAGTACATAGTACATAGTACATAGTACATAGTACATAGTACATAGTACATAGTACATAGTACATAGTACATAGTACATAGTACATAGTACATAGTACATAGTACATAGTACATAGTACATAGTACATAGTACATAGTACATAGTACATAGTACATAGTACATAGTACATAGTACATAGTACATAGTACATAGTACATAGTACATAGTACATAGTACATAGTACATAGTACATAGTACATAGTACATAGTACATAGTACATAGTACATAGTACATAGTACATAGTACATAGTACATAGTACATAGTACATAGTACATAGTACATAGTACATAGTACATAGTACATAGTACATAGTACATAGTACATAGTACATAGTACATAGTACATAGTACATAGTACATAGTACATAGTACATAGTACATAGTACATAGTACATAGTATACATATTACATAGTACATAGTACATAGTACATAGTACATAGTACATAGTACATAGTACATAGTACATAGTACATAGTACATAGTACATAGTACATAGTACATAGTACATAGTACATAGTAAAAAAGAAAAAAGATTGAACTAATATTATTAATATTATTATTAGGTACATAGTACATCTTATTCCTACTCTGAATTAAAAAGTTTAAAATGTATTAAATGATTCTCCTTATGCATTCACTTGAGTATTTAGTAATATATTTTCCACGAATACAATTTTGTTATATTTTTTAATCTAAACTGAAAATTTAAGATAATAATCCAAACAAAATTCGATCAAGTTCCTTCGACTGTATTCATTAACATTAATAAAACACAAGAGCTGACTAGAGCACGAGTATATGCGCAACCCTCGCTTAAGAGCTTGGGACAGACCCACTTATGCCTAGAATAGTCTGGCTCATGCGAGTTAAATTACGGCATTGCGCATGATTAATGTATCCGAAAACTGAGTCTAGCAAAAAATGTGCTGAAAGAGGCCTTCGGCAGAAGACAACAGCCGTTAAGAGCTGTGCTTGGTCTCCCGTCAGAAACGGCTCAATTAATGATGGAATGCACGTCGTGATATCGAAGTGAGGGTAAGTGCAATAATTGACTTTTAAAAGGAAGCAGCTGGCGCCCGGAGGAGGCATGGAGCGTGGCACATAGGACTGATATACAGAGCTGTCTATAACTGAAGCGAATTTTTCAGCCTGCCTGATGAATCATAGAGTTCCATAGTTCCACGCAGGCTTCCTCTTCCGTTATGGTCTCGAGTGCGGCGGACCATCCCGCAGCTTATTAATGCGCTGCGTGTCTTTGGGCTTTAATTGAATTCTCTAAGCGGCTCTCTTTTATCAGCGTATCAACGGCGATAAAGCGCACACGCACCCATAAACCTCGATTTCTTGTGCACGGCTCTACGAAATGACCTTAAAATTAAATTGGCGGTTTTTATGATTACGTCCAACATGTGTGCTTGATATTTGCGTACCTAATTGAGTTAGGATCAATTGAAAATACTTAATGTCTGTGCCTATGTCTGTGCTACGATCGCATGGCCCACAGGTAGGACAGCCAAGCTATCCGTCTGTCCGCCCGTCCGTTCGTTCGTTCACATTATCATAGGAGAACCGGTCTCCAGCCATACAATTCGATAATCCAAATTCAGCTGAGGCTACCCAATGATCCATCGGGCGGTTCGCACGTTCGGACAACTCGCATCGACTCGGCTCAACTCGATTCCAGCGAGAACACAGTCCGCATATTAAGCAGGGGCGCTGAGGCTCTACATTGGGTATATCCGAGTTTTAGCAACAGCTCATTATGCTCGTTTTGTAGTATTTTTGCGAATCTGTTTTCGTATATAAATCTAACGCGTTCCGCTGAGCTATCATCACTTCTTTGGTGGAAACTTAAGTGTCAAGTTTAGCTCCTGCTGTGATCAGTGCGCGTCTACAATCAAAAACCGTTCAACATCCCCAACTTCGACATATATCAAAGGACTTTTAACACACGAATTCCCAAACATCAGTCTCAGCATGAAGTTCAGTGTTGCGTTTGCTTTGTTGGTGATCGTCGGCTTTGTGGCCAGCGGCGATGCCTTGCCAGCCAGGAAAAGTGAGTTACCGAAAGTGAAAGAGCTGCAAAGGACAGTATAGAGACCTCAAACTAAATGTATTTCCTTATATATTAATCTCTAGTGAAATGCAGCATGTATAGATTTTAGAAACATTTTCTTAATCGTATTTCGTTTATTCATTTCATAATGCTCTCGCCACATCGTCTCGTTCCATAAACACATTCATAAAAAATTCATCCGCTTGCTCTCATTGTACACTTTCGCTTCCACTGAAGATCGGCAACACCTCGTTCCAGGAATGGTCTACTACCAGCAGCCAGCCGCCGCCGAATGGTACGGATCAGCTCCCCAGCAGAGGATTATGTACATGCAGTATGTGCAGCCAGGCCGCACGCATGCGCGCTCCACTCAGGCTGCCAGTGCCCTTGTGGCTGGTGAAACCGTCGCCACCGGCACCTATCTGAAGGGTAAGCAGGCCATCCCTAGCCTAACATCCCTTTCCCGACTAACCCGAGCTTTCCCCATTTGTCTAACAAAGATTGCAATCACGCAGAATCCGATGTGGCAGTCAGCGCCGATGGCATCAGCGCAGAGAGTGCCCAGGCTGATGATGTCCTAAGCGCTGCCGGCGCCAATGGCGCCAGCTCCGTGGCCGAAGCCTATCCCGATGAGGCACCTGTGGTCCAGATCGCCATTGATAGCAGCGACAGCAACGACAACGTCAGCAGCGTGAGCAGCGACAGCAGTGAGAAGAGCGACAGCGTCGATGCCGAAGCCCAGCCGGCTGTGGCTGAAAGCGACGATGCCGCCAAGGTGCCCCGTGACTTCAACTTTGCCGCCGAGGAAGCTGCCCCAGCCGTTGAGCAGCCCGCGCCCGAGCCAGCTGTCGCCCAGGTCAACGCTGACGATGATGTGCTGCCCGCTCCAGCTCCAATTGCGCCCGTTGCCCCCGTCGTGCCCGCCAACCGTTATCTGCCCGCCAAGAAGAAGGTGATCGTCGAGCTGGACCAGTCTGCCGAGGATGTTGAGGAAGCCCAGGTGGCCGCCTTTGAGGATGAGGAGGTCGAGAACGCTGTTGCCGATGACGTCGACGAAGATGAGGAGGAGCTGGCCGCTCCCGTGCCCGTGCCCGTCAAGCCTGTGGCCAAGTATCCCGCCCGCGTGCCCAACGCTCGTCGCCCCGTTGCCAAGAAGCCCGTCCCAGTTGCCAACAAGCCAGCGAAGAAGCCCGCCGCTCCTCTGCCCGCCGGCACCTTCTTCCCAATTGACTTCGGTGGCACCAGCGGAGGCGCCATTGCCATTGCCAACTCCTTCAGCACCGGCGAGGGCGGCTCAGCCACCTCGCATGCCATCGCCTACGGCTCGCCTGATGCCGTTCGCGCTCGCGTCCGCCCCAATCCCAGCAAGCGTCGTCACTAATCTGCTGCTGCCATAACTGCCCACATGCTCCATGACTGACGCTCAGCCCCACTGCGACGCCACTTGAATTCTTACCACCAATTCTTGCTAATGCATCGCCAGGTGCAACGATACTTTAACTTGAGTCCGCGCCGAGTCTGTAATCAAAGAACTTTTTAACTATTAGCCAAATTGTAAACCTTCTGAGCGCATTTCAATAAAACTTCTTTCTGTTAATACAAAAATGCTACAGTTTTGATTAGCTAGCGGAAAGACATTTTCGCCACAGGCAATGCATTTCCAATTTATTTCAAATATTACCTTCTTTCTCTTCTTTTCTATGTATGTATAAAACGAAAATCAAACCTAATTTGGAACCAATTTAAAGGTTAATAAACGATAAATGCTCCATATAAAAATAAGAAAATAATGAACAAAATTTCATAAAAAACAGCAGCTATCATTTCGACTTATGAGCTAATGCTTGTTCCACAATTTCGATATAATGGGTTTAATTAACTTTGCTTATAATTCGGCGGATAATGCACTAAATCTGCGATGCATGCATCTGTAATATGGATTTTGAAGACACTACGTTTAACATCAAGGTTTGCTTCTTCTGCTGACAAGAACCTTTGAACTGATCAACGCCAATCAGCTGTTGACTTGGAATTATTTATAACTTTTAGGTCTATTACTAAGTTGGAGTGATTTATATATAAAAACGTATTGATTAACTCCGAATGGTAATGGCTCTGTCGCTCTATCAGTAACCATATTTGTCTTGCAGGGACGACATAACATCGTTGGCCAAGTTGCTCAGTCGGCCGGCCACCTTGTGCACGCCCTGGCGCACGCTCTCTTTCACATCGTCCAGATCCGGGGCATTAAAATTCACGCCAGTCGAATAGCCACCACTGCCTGTAAATGACAAAGTATTTGTATTTAAAAGAGACCTTATTTCTGAATTTCAATCATCACTTACCACGATTGCTCATGCTACCGCCTGGGGTACCATCCCCGAAGTAGTCGGAGGAAGATATTGCACGCGATCCCTGGAAACGATTTAGATTGGCGCTGATGTCTGCCGCAGATTGTTCATTCGCAAAGTACTGATCGGAGCCAAAGCCCTTAGAGTTGCCGAACTTTTGCTGTGCAATGACAGGATCATTGGGGTTAATGCCTTTGCTTTTGCTCTTGCTGGAAGCTGCTGCAGTGCTCCGTGGATTGGGCTTGTCGTAATCACTGCTGGCCGCAAACATGGACGTGATGTTACTATGCGTTGTTCCAATAGGTTCAATTGTCTCGTAGCCCAAGGCATCCAACTCGAATTTGTCCAATTTGCTGGCGCTATTGGAGCTCTCCTTCTTATCGCCACCGCCGCCGTACAAATTAAGCGAATGATCATTAAAGAAATTATCATTCTCCAGGGCAGCCAGCTTGCTTTGAGAGCTGACTTTGGGTGCAGCTGACTGCTGAATGGTTTCCATGTCGCTTAAAGCGGAGTGGGCCACGTCAGAGCCCCTCAAGTTAAAGCCCATGCCCAGCCGCTCCATTTGCTTGGCCTTGGCGGGATCGATGCTCTTTAGCTTAGCTTCCTCTCGTGTCTTTTGAAGCGACAGATCTTGATATGCCAACCGCATGCTAGCTACAGTCTCCAGCTCCTCCTCTGCGGTTTGTGGCTTCTCGTTGGATCCGGCTGAAGCTGCTGCCGTTTTACTCTCATTGGCCGCATTGGCGCGCGCCTCAATGTCTGCAAAGTTCGTGGTTACCTTCGTTGCACCCAACCCTCCGACCTTGCGTGCGCCCAGCTAAAAGTCAAGATTCAGATCGTAGGTGATCCAATTTCGATTTGCTTTCACAATTTACTTACTGCTCCCTTCTTCGGCTGTATCTTGCGCACGCCAATGGACGAGGGAACCGCTGCAGGAGCGACGACCGCATTGAGTAGATCGACGCTGGGCTCGCCAGTTGAAACGGTAGGACCAGCAGCAGGCTTGGCGTCCAACTGCAAGCAATAATGGCAAGGATTAATAATCTGCTAGGATTGCTAATGATCAGTACTTAGAAATCAACTTCAACATTAACTTCAAATGTAGCAAGGAACGCGTGTGACTTTGTTGGCTTTACCTTCACCTTGCTGGCCGCGTTGCTAACGTTATTGTTCTCCAAGTGCGCATTGGCGTTGTTGTTATTGCATTGGGCAAAGAAGTCCTCCTCCTCCTGGTCCTCTCTGCCGGCCTCGTTGCCCTCGTTCTTATCCGCCGCCGGGTCCAAGTGTAGCTGTACGTGTGTTTGTGTGAATGTGCGGTAACAGAGAACAAAATACATACAAGTAAAGCGCAAGCGAGAGCAAACCAAGTGTTAGTCGGATTCAGTGTTTAATAAAGTCAAACTCAAAGAGTAAACAAAGTAAATAAAGCAAAGAGGCGAACGAAAAGAGGGCAGCGAGCTGCTTACCTTGGTGCCGTGCACCTTCATCGCCTGCTGAGCAAGTGCCGCCAGCTTGTCCCGGTAGAGCTGAGCCGCCCTCGAGTTGTATTTAATTTGGGCGTCACTGCTGGTACAGTTGTGGGCGCGGAAGAATTGAGCAGCGTTCGCATTGCCACCCAGCTGCATTTGCCGCAGCTGCAACCACGTCCAGTTGGTGTCCAGGTTGGTGCTCCGCACAAAGGTCAAGTGCACGCCGAGATTGCGATGCACAGCGGAGCAGTCGATGCATATGAAAATGCCGTACGTGACAGAGGACCATGTAGGTGCCTTCGTGGCACAATCGAAGCATGACTGGATGGAAAACAAAAGCGATGAAATATTAAAATCAAACTCTGAACATTACGCTGAAACCAAATCCTACCTTATTGGCTGGTAGTGCCCGCAGACGACTGAATACGGCCTCGATTTCCTGTTTCGTGGGTCCCACTGCATTGTTTGACATGGTATTATTCGTGGCTACGCTGCACCAATTTACCTTATTACTTTATTACGGATTGTAAATTGTTTTCGTGGCTGGCTTCGCCTGTGCCTGCGCCTGATGTTTTATTGCTCTGCAATTACAGTCAGCAGTTATGCTTTTTGGCAGTTAAAGCTGAACGTGGATTACTTGTTGTACGAAGCTTACAGAAAACTCTTGAAATTTAGATCAAGTGCATTTACAAACTTTTTTATTTTTGTTTTTGGCCTAGTGTTCAGAATTTTGACGTGTGTTTTTCATTCCAGTCTCTTCCACGTTCACGTTAGAGATGAGCACTTCACACTTACAGACAAGTTGCGAGTCACGATTCAGTGATAATCTTTTTTAACAGCAAATATTAGCAAAAATCATCCATATCTATAAATTAATAGTAATACAATTTCAAATTCTGCTCATCTCAAAATTATTATCATATAATTCATTTTCAATATTAATCTTAGCATATTATAATTAATGCACAAATGTAATAAAACAAAACAATTATTAAGTTCTCATCACTACACTTTGCACACCTAGCTCAATTTTCAATCGTTTGAAATCTCTAAGACTGTCATATATTCGATATACATCACGACGTGTTATCGATAGATAATAACTATTATATTCTGTTACTCATTTGACACTGCTCGAAATGATTTTTTCCTTAAATACTTTAATTTATATATAAATAAACAAATACAAATTGTTTCCAACAGCAGCTGTCGAATCCTCATACCTACCATATTTATTGCTAAAGTCCCTATACTTCAACTGGGTTTACAGACGAGAAAAATTGTCGCTATATGGAGGAACTAAGTGTCCCGGCATGCTGACTTCAAATACAGAACACCTGAGTTATGTTAAGGAACAGCTGATTTGTTATGAGTTATTAAATGTTAGAAGTTTCTTAATCTAGCCAGTTATTATCTAGCCAAATTTGATAATTGAATCCGTGCTTTTGTATTAAACGCCATAAATCAACTTACTTTCTACCTTTGTAAGAACTTAAAAATGGTAGTAAAAACCGTCAATATTAGCTAAAATTCTTGGGTGACCACAGCTATACATATGTAATTCGTAACCTACAAAATGCTTTGTTTACTTTTGCGCCAAACGCGTAATTTCCGTAAATTAGTTTTTAAGCAAGTTTTAAATTCACACGTTTATACAGTCAGCAATGCATTGCACACAACAAGACGTAAGTGGTTCGTCTCAGCATTGAGAACAGCTGCTATTGGTAATAGTTTGAGCAGATTATGAAATTATATTCGTCTCGATTTGCTTGCAGTGCTACGACACGGCGAATATGAATGGGAAGATCCCAAGTCACCGGACGAAATGTAAGTAACTGGCCACGGGAGTGCTTGTATTTATGTTGCAGTAATATTTTGCCTGCTGTAGCGTCAACATAACATACGTTGACAAGGACGGCAAACGCACCAAGGTGCAGGGAAAGGTGGGCGACAACGTTCTCTATCTGGCGCACCGGCACGGCATTGAGATGGAGGGCGCCTGTGAGGCGTCTCTAGCCTGCACAACGTGCCATGTGTACGTGAAAAACGACTATCTCGAAAAGCTGAACGAGGCAGACGAAAAGGAAGATGACCTGCTGGACATGGCGCCCTTTCTGCGAGAGAACTCCCGCCTCGGCTGTCAAATAGTACTCGAAAAGAGCATGGAGGGCATGGAGCTAGAGCTGCCCAAGGCAACTCGTAATTTCTACGTGGATGGGCACAAGCCGAAACCACATTAGTCGAACGTTGTTTATTATCGTTATTGTATGTCGAGAGAGTTAAATAAAAGAGTATTTTGAGTAGCTTTCTCGTCCCCAATTTGTATATATTTTGTTAAGTTTGTAAACAATGGATTCTTCTTCGAGTTTTGTTTCATCTGGCAAATTAAACTAAAAATTTTGTAAGTTGAGCCTATATAATTACATTTTCTAATCGGTGATTCCCATGGAGGAAGGCAGATCAAGAATAGATGAAAGAGAACAATTTGAGTGGGGAAATGTGTAGACATAAAATGGTAGGAAACAATATTGTAATAATTATGTTACAATTAAAATTATATGCGTAATAGTCTAAATGTGTATAGCGACAAACTAAAAATCATTACAACAAAGACACGGCAATGCAGCGTGATTGCGACAGTGTGAATGATGCTCGTTGGGTTAACTGTGCGTTCAGTTCGAAGAGGGACTGCTGGAGGCGGAGCGTGAATGCACGCTGCCACGCTCCTGGTCACTGCGCTCCTCATCGCGGTCGAGACTCTTCTCATCCTTGTCCAGATCACGCTCTGGTTCGCGCTTGCTCTGCTTCTCAGGCGCGGCAGCGACAATCTCTTCTTTGGGAGACAAATTCTCACGTTTCACTGCTTCCTTTTCAGCCTTGCCGCCGCTGCCGCCGCCGCTCTTCTTGTTGGTGCTCTTCTTCATGACGGCTATTTCTTTCAAAAGGCTAGCGACTTTGCGATTCAAGTTATCTACTTTCATGTCATGCAGTCGCTCGACCTCTTTCAGTCTGTTGCGCATCTCGTTTTCCTTCTCGAAGTTCTTGCCCTTCAGCTCTGTCAACTGAAAATTGTAGATAAATTCGGCAATTAAAAATCTAAAATCAAGTGTTTTAATGCTGATCGCCACTCACCTGCTTGTCCTTCTCGAGCAGTTCTTTGTCCTTTTGATTCAAGCGCTTCTCCAGACTGGCGATGCGCTCCTTTAGATATGTAATGGCCACCACGTGATCCGACGAGTTTGTGTCTACTGTGATCGCAGCTGGTGCGGCGATTGTGCCATTGCCGCCATTGCCCCGCGATATCTTGTCGGGCAGATCTAGGCCTGCGCCGCTGACTGATGTCACACCACTGGAATTCACGTTGCTAGCTCCTTTGGAAATGTCGCCGCCGCGTGTTGCTTTCTTGGCAGACGCGTGGCTCTCTCTGTGAGCCGTCGATGAGGACTTCTCGTGTGGCCGCTTTTTAGACATGGATATTCGTCCCTCTTGCTGGGCCTTCAACAGAGCGCGTTTGTAGGCGCAGGTACATAGCCAGCAGAGGACTTTGCCATTGACCTGCAAGGAGGCAAACAATTGCACGTTGTTTAATATTAAACACAATTATGCTAACTTAAATATTTAGCCCTACACACTCCTATGAACGCAATACAATATCACTAGGCTCTCATGACTGCCACACGACAGGTGCATCTAGTTGTATCTGTACAATGGAACATGCTTAGTAGAGCAACATACATCGAGTCGACTTAAAATTACGATTTTTTCATTCAATTTGTGTTTAACAAAGTAAGACTAAAATATAAGCAATCCTTGATGTTGGCTCTGCTGAGCTCTGTTTCTCTCGCTGACCTTTTTGTTCTCGTCGCGCCTGTCAAAGGCTGATCGCAGCTTGCACTCGTCGCACTGTGTCGGGGGTCCGTACTTTGCCTCGTAGCTGGCGCATCTATTTGCAGTTTGCAGTTTGCAGTTAGTTTGATATTTGGTTTGGTTAAAGTGTATATCATTTTGTTTGGCACACACACGTGGAGCAGAAAAGAGAAGAGAAAAATGTTTTGCGTTCATAAGAGACGTTGTTTTCGTTTCTAATTTGTTCGATTCACTACTTGAAGACAAAATATAGACTCAAAGGCAGGGCAAACGCGCATTAGTTAATGTACTTTGAAGGCACAATTAGTTGGGTAGAAGTGGGCGATATATCAATATAAACATGTTTTATACTGAATGTATATTCATACTCTTCGTAACGTTGGTTGTATGTGATTATCAACTTGAATTTGATACGAGCATTTGCATTCTATATATTGTGCATTCAAATTACAGCGGCTGCCACGTTGCTCGTGAAAATACTTCATTTTTTTACTCTTTTATTTGAGACTAGGCATCAGCTTACTACATGCAATTTAATATCAACATACCTCATGCATTTGGAGCTGCCAAAGGCAGCGACGATTTTGCAGCACTCGCAGGCACTGGGCTTGCCGTATTTATTCAGATAGTGTTCGCATTTTTTACAGGCACTCTGTGATTTGCTGTAAAAACAAACAAAAACAAATGGCAGAGACATGCAGCATGGATGATTCGATTCTACTTACGAGGCGGAGGGGAATTCCGAGCGGCAGTAAGTACATTTAACAACTGAGGTAGAACCACGGCATACCTGCGAAAATTTAAGGATCATCGTAAATTACATGAATTGCAAGAGGTGGGGCGACGAGTCAATTTCGTTTGCAAATAATGTCAGCTTGTAGCAGGAGCCGGACACACTACAGTTTTTCTAACTTCGAATTTTATCTGTCACAGGTGTCGCCGCCATCGCTGCTGATGCCGCTGCCGATGATACAGGGTCAAAGCAAGCGCAGCAAGCAGTTCTGCTTCCTCTTGCTGTTCATTTTCACTTTTAATGCGCAGCAAGAATTTTCGCAAGCAAGCAAGCGTCATTTTTATTTTGTTAGTGCCAAAAACAATGGCCCACGTACACATGCTACGCTTTTGCCACAATGCGTACACACACATTCGAAAAGCTGTTTGTTTGTTGCAATTTGCCTTTAAAAATTTTAACTTGATATTTTTTGATGTTCACCTTGCATAGCTGCTGGCCCGAGGATAATTCTTCGTATGGGTGCCGCGAAAAGCATTTGGAGCATGCGAATAATACTTTTGAACTCATTTTTATATTTGTGTTTTATTTTTCTTTGTGCTAGTTTTTCTTTCTTTTTGTACAAATTATTTTTAATATGCGCTTAAGAAGACGACGCAAACAGTGTCACCACAAAGATAAAATTAAAATAAATGCTCGCTTCATGAGCATCAAAGTGACAACACTCGCGCAAAATATACCTATCGATGATCAATTTATCGAATGCAAAGCAACCCTCTAAATACAGCTCAATTCAACTCGGAATGAGAGAAAGACGCCTCAAAGCAAAATTCAAACAAATCAAAAAAACGTCCAATTCAGGCTGTACCAAATCAAAAATTAAATACAAATACAAAGAGAAACAATAAGCAAAAAGTGTAACCGAATAGTTTAAAACATGCCTGAACCAACAAATATTAAAGTAATAGTGCGAGTGCGCCCATACAATCAGCGGGAAAAGGAACAGAATCAAAGATGCATAATAAAAGTGATGGACGGATCTTCATTGTTGTTCGACCCAGATGAGGAGGACGACGAATTCTTTTACCAAGGTGCCAAGCAGCAGTACAGAGACATCTCAAAGCGCACAAACAAAAAACTAACCATGGAATTCGATCGTGTCTATGATACTGATCACACAAACGAAAACTTGTTCCAGGAGTGTACAGCGCCGCTGGTCGATGCAGTGCTCGATGGGTAAGTGTAGAATTTCACCTGCATCTGAAATTTGAATTGGAATGGTAACATGTGTACATCGCAGGTACAATTGCTCGGTGTTTGTCTATGGTGCGACGGGTGCGGGAAAGACGTTCACAATGTTGGGCTGTGAGAACTGCCCTGGGCTCACGTTCCTGACCATGCGCGATCTCTTTGAAAAAATACAGAGTCAAAACGCTACGCGCAAATTCGACGTAGGCGTCAGCTATCTGGAAGTGTATAATGAGCAGGTTATGAACCTGCTCACAAAAACAGGTCCGTTAAAGCTGCGCGAGGACGCAAATGGCGTAGTCGTAAGCGGATTAGTGCTGAAGCCCATTTACAGCGCAGAGGAGCTACTGCACATGCTCACTATAGGAAACGCGAACCGCACCCAGCATCCGACAGATGCCAACGCAGAGAGTTCGCGGTCGCACGCCATTTTTCAGGTTCACATACGCATCACGGAATTAAATACTGGCACCAAGCGCAGTGTGAAGCTTTCCATGATTGACTTGGCAGGCAGTGAACGAGCTGCTAGCACCAAAGGCCTTGGTATGCGTTTCAAGGAGGGCGCCAGTATCAACAAGAGCCTCTTGGCGCTGGGCAATTGCATCAATAAGCTGGCCGATGGGCTGAAGCACATACCCTATCGGGACTCAAACTTGACTAGGATCCTAAAGGACTCCCTCGGCGGCAATTGCCGAACTCTGATGATAGCTAATGTGTCCATGAGTTCGCTCACCTATGAAGACACCTACAACACCCTAAAGTACGCCAGTCGCGCCAAGAAGATACGTTCCGTGCTGCGCCAGAACGTGCTCAAATCGAATCTGCCCAAGGAGTTCTATGTGAAGAAGGTCACCGAGCTGATGGCCGAGCAGGAACGTTTGCTGCAGCACAATAAAGGTCTCGAGGCCAAAGTGGCACAGCTGGAGCGCTCCGCCAGCAGCAGTAGCAGCTTCGGAGGATTCGACATGCAGGAGCTCAAGCCTTGGTACAGCCGCATCGATGCTGTATACACTTCTGTGATTAAGCTGCAGCAGTGCGTCATTGGCCTCCGAAGCAAGATTCAGACCCTCAGCTATCGACAAACACTGAAGAAGGACTTTGAGCAGCTGAGGAAAGCTGTGACGCAGGATCAACGGCTGATACAAGAGGTGCGTATTACTAAAGATAGACTACAATTCTCTTGGCTTATCTTCGGATTACCTTCAACAGTTCCCACTATTTAACGCTTAAGACTCGCTGTATTTCTGATAAGCTTAGCTTACGTTTCAATAGGCAGTAACATTTGTAGTGTGGGCACAATAATATTCTAGTTAAATCCAATATCAGTCTAGGGGCATCAGGTCTCCCCAGTTAACTCCTTCTGCTTGCTGACGAGCAGTTTGTCCGCCTCGGCAATGTATTTGTCCGCAATGGCCGTGACCTGGGTTTGGGCCGCAAACACGTCGTCTTTGGCAACGTCTGTCTGCTTCTTGAGCTTGCGGATTTGTGCGTTCTGTATGTCCCGTATGGCGTCGCGGTACTTGATGAACAACGCTTTCGCATTCTTGGACAGCAGCTCGCGATGCTCCTTGGTCACCTTGGGTATGGGTATGAAGAGAGTGGTGCCGTCTTGCTGCGGATTCAGATTCATGCCGCTCTTCTCAATGGCGCGCAGCACGTCTGGTATGGTCTGTGGGAACGCAATCATGTTGACTATTATAGTCTTTGGATTCTTGCGCGATATCTGGGCCAGCTCCTGCAGCTCGTGCTCGGCGCCGTCTACTTTGATGCGTAGCGTGTCGATGGCGCCGCTCGTGGAGCGCAGTGACAGATTCTTAATGAAATCCTCCTTCATTTGCAGGACAGACTTTTCCATCTGAGCATTCAGGCTATCCAGGTTGATCAGTTCACGCAGCTGTTGCTCATTTATCTCAACCTTGGCAGGTTTACCCTTGCCGCCCTTTTCCTTCTTCCTGTCCTTGCCTTTTGCATAACTACGCGCCTGCTGCAGCCCCAACACAGATGCCGCGCCGTTTCCTGCTAACGGCTGGATCTGCTGCCGCTGTTGCTGCAGTTGTGTAAAAGCGCCTGTTGCCGGACGAATCGGTGTTAACCTAACGGTTAACGCCCGTAAATGCAGTCCCATCTTGGCGAACATTTTTTGTTATTTAAAATATTGCGATTTGCACATTAAATACCATGCAAAGCTGCCAACTTGCTTAAAGCTCAATTCATTCAGCTGGCGGTGCTGCCAACGTGATTTAAAAAAGCAATGTATGCTGGTAAAAAATGTTGATCTGCCTTGTTTTCTAATTGCTAATGCTTTTGATAAATATCCTATAGTTCGATTGGAAATTGATTTTCTTATATTGATAAATTACTATATACAGTTTTATTTAATTTTTGTACCAATTATTAAGAGAGTTGATTAATCTTAGTTTTTTCTTATTTATTTTTTGTTATGGTCATTATAATTATATTTTTTAATGTATTTGTTTATTTTTTTTAAACAAATTTAAGGTCGGTTAATATTGAAAGCGTATTTAAATAATTGTTACATTTGTATTCATTTGTAATTATTTTTTCAATTATTGAGCAACCTTTTTATTTATTATTATTTAATAATAATAATAATAATAATTTTTTTTATTTATATTATTTTGCAGGACTTTAAATTATTCACAGACTACATGACGGCACTAAACGCTAGAAATCAAAAATATACTGATGAGCTGCCTCATTGGCGCAGCAAACTCGAGATGGCTTGCCTAAATCTGAAAAAGCTGAAGGTCGAGGTGAAGGAGTCCAAATATCACCAAATCTTGAGCATTTACCTAAGTAACAAGGATCTGGAGGTGCAGCTCTCCAAGCAGCAGATAAACTGCAGTCATTTAACCAGTATTAACAATGAACAAGCCGAAAATGCGAGCCTTCTACGCAAATCCATATCCATGATGTGCGATGTCCTGCATCAGCTGTACAACCGATTGGAGGAGACACAGAAACTAACGCCAGAAATACAAGGTGTATACGAACGACTTGAGCGAAGGATGCATTTCACAGCATCCGAAACAGAGTTATCGGCGCACGACTTGGAACTTGATGCGCTTCTCGCCGAGCAGCAGCAGGAGAATGAGTCGCCATCAGCATTGACCAACAGCGCCAAGAAGCGCAGTCGCGACCGGCGCTACACGCACACGCTAACCAATAGCGAGTTTGTTCTTCACCTGGGCGTGGACAGCTTTGAAGATACGGACTCCGACACGGACAGTGGAGAGGACGGGCAGCAGGCCTTTAAGAAGCCACGCAATCTAGACGTCACTCAAGTCATTTCCGGCAACATGAGCTCCCGCAAGGCTTTGACGGCGACTGTCACCAAGTCTCGACCCTTGGTCAACCAACGCATGGTATCGGATTTGCTGTCGGATCAGAATGTCTGCGGATCTGCAGACAGGGACAAAGTGAAACAAGGTTAGCTCCGGATCCAAGTGAAAATAGGGCTGCAATCTTATCCTACCCTTCTGCTCGTTCTTTCAGCTCTGCTCAAGTCTAACAAGTTTACAACTCAAGGATTGCAGCGCACATGCGCGGCTGCGATACAGAAAGAGAATTTAAAGTTCCCATCGAACTGCGTGCGGAAAAGTCCGCGTGCGCTGATTGCAAAGAGTGAGTCAGAGATCCAAAAATAAGTCTAGAATTTTACTAAATAAATTATCTCTATTATATTTAACACAGCTCTCGCCGGCTCCTCGACGACGGCGCGCAAACCCATTTCTCGTCTGGCCGGCACCATTGGCTCGGGCGTCAAGGAGGCGCCGGTGGTAAGAATAAATCGGGCTGCCTCGTTTCGCGTAAAGAAATAATTGATCTTAATTGCACTGTGTTAAGCGTTTATTTTCAATTTCGGTTTCTTTATGCAAGTTCAACGATTTTAATTTACTGCTTTTAGTTCTGTAAAAACCCTAAATAATCGCTATAATATATATTATGTAAATTTAAATCAATTTTTTTATAAGCTGTACGTAAACCTGTGAGAAAGGCTTCAAGTTTAGAAATACAATGTCGATTCCTTGTCCCCACCTAAATTGTGTCTATCGCTCCGGTAAATATCGCCTGTGTGCCATGGGCCGACTCGGTAAGATGGGCCCAGACCTAGTAATCCCAGCAGCATGCAGAGAAGAGCGCCTAGATTAAGACCCAGCAGCATGAGACCCGGTCCAATTGGCGCCGCGAGCGCTCCGCCCGTACTAGAGCCTAGCCAGTTACTTGGCTGACCGCCGAAGCCGGCATAGGCCAAGCGCCGCCAAGGCTGCTGCTCACTGGCAGCTACATCAGTTGGAGCAGGTCCCATGTCCTGATCCTTTCGCTTGCTCTCGGCCAACAGAGTGTAGCGTGGTGAATAGGCTTTGTCCGTTGCATCGTGTACATTGCTGGCGCAGGCCACGGCGCAGCAGACTGCAAGGAGAATGAGCAACTGCATGACGTCAACTGTTTGACTACTTGAGAGCCATATCTAGTATTTATAGTGGAGCACGAGCACTGCTCGTGTCGTAGTTCAGCGATTCTTTTGAGATGTCACCAGAGTAAACAAACGTGGCATCTATCAAGTATGCACAATAAAAAACTTGAGTCGGCTGTAAGGGCATTATTATTCTGGTATGTATATTTGGATTAGATAAGTATTGTTCATTGTATTGTCCGTTTGGTTGAGTGCGCACCGTGCTGCTCTAGTTGAGGCGTTGGGCTTTGAGCACCACCTTCGGGTGTTCGATCTCCGACTTGCTTTGAATGAGTTTTAGCTCTCGCTCCCAGGCCTGAACAGGTCCACTGGACCGTTGCCTGGGCATCTGCTCAACTGTGCGCCTGATCACGGCCTGCAGGGTGGCAATGGTCTTTTCGAACGCTTCGGTGACATCGCCGCTGGCATGGCTGTGAGCCAGAAAGAGCGAGGCAAAGAGATCACCGGTGCCAGTGAAAAAGAGATCCTTGTCGCCTTGCTTGGGTATATCGATAGCCAGCCGTGGCCCATTTATCTGGCTCAGGAAGGCGCGCAGAATGCCCGGCTGACCCAAGTCGCTACTGGAGATGACAACCGTCTTTATTTTACGCTCGTGGAACCAATCCATCGCCTCCCACACAGCCGCCTCGCTGCGAACCTCCTTGCCAGTGAGCAGCTCGACTTCGTACTGGTTGGGCGTCACGATGTCAGCCAAGGGAATGATCTCATCCCGATACACGGGCAGCAGCTCTTTGGGTACGTACATGCTGCCATTGTCGCCCATGACGGGATCACATACATAGATCAGATCGGGATTTGCTATGCGGATCCTTCGCAGAATCTCTCCAACTTGACGCAGAAACAAGGGATTGCCAATGTAGCCCGTCAGTAAATGGGAATAGTGACCCAGTAACTTATTCTCCTCCAGACCCTCGAATATGTTCGCTACACAGCAAGCAAATTGTTGACATAAGACTGCATTATTAATGTTTGTAAACAACTACTGACCCAATTCTTTTTCAGTGGATATTGGACCCTTGAAGCAATTGTAGCCCGTGTGATTCGAGAACTGAACGGAATTCAGCGGATCTACATCGAAGCCGAGAAGCTAAAGCAGGCAAAATGAATATGCAAATATACTATAGATTTAACAGTGTATGCGTCACCCACCTGGAGGGGAAAGGTAGCCACCTTATTGCCCACATAGCCGTGCACTACGTGACTTTGAATGGAGAGCACCCGTTTGACACCTGTCGTGGTCATTTTGTAATATGTGAGACTTTTACTCTGTAAGAACTCAAGTATCAGTGCAATAACGGCGCTACTATAACCGGCTAGTCGTCTAATAAGCAACTAAGTAAAACTGATTTATTTGCTTGCTCACAGAGTCGCGAGATACAAGCGACTGTTGCTTGGCTTATCATCAGGCAGCAGCATTAATGCGCTGATAAGTGATAGACTGTAATGGCCAATGTGGAATATGCGATGCGATAGCAGTAAAACAATACTACCAAGCTCTTTGGTGTTTATATTTGTCTCATATTACTAAACGATTGGGAAGCATTTGACCTTGGGCTACAATCAAACTGTTAATTGCATATATATTTGCCCATTCCCCACTCTTGTTTTCTATATACTCTTTCTCATTACACCTCGTATGTACTTGGTATCGATACCAAAACAGCTGATGTGTTGGCTATTGTGGTGAATGTCGGTTCGCAGTCGCATGGTTTACGTAAACTTTATTTCTTAAGTTTTCTATAAAAACTGGCAATTGGCTGGTTATTATTATATTGAAAAAACTTAAATTAACCATGGCAACTAATTTAGTACGATTGCTCGAGGGTAGCATACGAAGCAACAATGCCGGCGTAGCTCAACGCACTCTGCGGGTATTCAGCAGCCAGCAGCAGCAATCGGAGCATTCGGCGGAAGACGATGAGGGTAAGCTGAATAGATGGTAAACAATCATAAGAATGAACTTACTTGTGCTTGCAGAATTCCGGGTGCTCAATCTACGTACTGTCAAACAACAGGCACGCAGGCGGGTAATAAAGAAGGAGGTGGTACCGCCCCCGCGGACAACGCATATGCCTGTAGATCAAGATTGGACAGCTGTCTGGTCGGGCCCCCGTTCTTTTCACCCTGCCAGCGTGCCGCTGCCTTTGCGCCAAGGCTACACAGAGCGAGGAGCAGCTGCTCCCTCAAAATACGCGAATGCGGAGCTAATGAAAATACCAAATTTCTTGCATTTGACGCCACCGGCCATTCGGCAGCAATGCGAGGCAATTAAAAAGTTTTGTACCCCGTGGCCGAAGGGCCTAGAATCGGAAGCCACCTGGAAGGCTATCTTTCCCGTAGAAGTCGTCACTACGGACTATTGCCACAGTCTGCCGACAATACGGCATCCTGAGGCTCGTCGTGTCACAATTACGCTGAAACTGTCGGACTTAAAGTTCGATGCTCACGCTAAGGACAAATTTCTACGCCTCGTGGGCGATCGGTACAACCAAGAGACTGGAGTACTAACGTTTGTCGCTGATCGCTGCCCGACGCGCAAACAGAATTACGACTACGCTTTGTACTTGCTGACGGCGTGTTACCACGAGTCATTCATTACGGAGCCATGGGAAGCTAGCAAGTCAGAGGCCGACATGGAGGTCTATCTCTTTGAACGGAATAAGGCAAAGCTTTCGGCTGAAGCAATTCTCAATTGGAATGCAAATGGAGAAAAGCAAGCACCCAGTGCTACCTATGCTGACAGCGTGGAGAAGCTGATAAACGAGGGCGAAAATGAGTACAACATAGCCAAATATAAGGAGGAAGTGCTGAAAATGTTGAAAATAGCTAATTAGTAAGCACCAAACCACAATTATTAAATTACTGTAACAAGGTGTACCACGCTTTACAAGAATAAACAAAATAGTAATCGAAAACATTTAGTATAGTTGATTGTTGATTGTTGTTGCCGGTGAATCGCGAATCGCGAGCATGCGGCAGCTGATTTGGGTGGCAGCGCGTCGTGGTGAATAGCAAAAGAACAGCTCGCGTTCAAGAAGCAGCAGCAGTTGTTGGTCCAAATAGAAGAAGACATATTTAGTGGACGTGGAAGGAATTTGTTGTATAAATTGGTAGCCAACTTGAACTTGGGCATTTTTAATCAAAAATCAACAACCAGTGGCATTCTCCCAATGGCGAAAGTTAACAGGTAACATAAAAACATATCATGTGACAAACAACAAAAAAACAAAGCAAAACAAACGGAAAAAGTAAACAAAATTCTCCTATTAAATTCATTCGAACGTTGGGCAATTTGGTGCATTTTATCTACGTGCCTTCAATTACTTTCACTTTAAAATACCGGAAGTGGCCTGCCATTTGGAACTTATCTTAACTAAGCAACTTTTTTCGACTGTCAGTCGAAAATGTCAACGTTGTCGTTGTCGTTGTCGTTGTCGACGTCGCGACGACGCGTCGTTGTTGCCGCTTATCAGTGAAATGTTTTGTTTGCTTTTGCTTTTTGTGTAATTGTCTCGCATCATAGTAGAACCCACACACACACACACACACATGAGTGCATGAGCGTCGGGCATATTTCGAGAACCTCGAGCGGTGCCGTTTTCTCAGTTCTCTATAACATTCGCAGTGAACAGAAGTAGGCTATTCAAAAGATTCTGTAAATCTAGTAGGGTTTTTAAATATGCCTATATGATGTGCATTGTGTATGTGGAGTAGTAGTATTAGAACTTGAAGTAATTGTAGTAGTGGCAGTAAAATTAGTGTTACAGAAGCAGTAGTAGATTCAATTAGTTACAGTAATAGTAGTAATATTAGTTGTAGCATTTGAAATAGTAGTAGAACTAGTAGTCGTAAGGAGGAACTAGTAGCAGGAGCATTTAAAGTAGGCGTAAAAGTGGAACATTCTAATAGTATTAGTTGTACTGGCAATATACTACTCCTAATATTACTTATATTTGATGTGCCTCACGTTATTGGGTTTGCATCAGAGACCTTCACAGATGTGTTCTTGACATATTATGAAGTAAAGCTTGGGCTAGAAGGCCAGTCCCATGGCTCATAGTCGCTGTCGAAGCATAAAATCTGTATATAAATTTATGATAAACCGCGTAGAACGTTGAAGCTAATGAAAATTCCGTGTTTTAATAAACCTGTTTCGAATGAGCTAAATTTGTGCTAAAATTCGGCTTTCTTGTGCTGTACTGCAGACAAAAATAGACTAATATTTATTTTTATCTTTTCCACACTGTGTTCACTTTTCGTATGTATATATGTAGCATTTTATTCTACGTGTTCTTTTGTCGCTCTAATCTTTTAGCTGGTAGTCAAAACCGAGCGTGCGGAACCAACAAAAACAACAGCTGAGCTAACACACGGAACATTCTTCAGTTCGCCTTGCCCATGAGTTTCTGTGTTAGCATCAGTTCCAGCAGTGGATCACAGGCAGCGTAGCCCGCCACGTATCCATCCGTAGTGAAGAAAAGAAACATAATCTTCTAGTAGAATGCGTCGGCCGAATATCAAATGGATTATCAAGTCGTCGTTTTTGGCGTTGCTCTCGCTGATGCTCTTCCTGCTCATCACGAGCTGGATTTCGTCTACGCCGTACACGAATAAGCCGATACATCATGGCATCCAACCGGAGCCCTTGAAGCCAGGAGCAAGGGTCGCCGAGCAACGTCTGGAAGCAGCGAGAGATATCCAATTGCCTGAGCCAAATCATAAAAAGAAAATCATTGAGCCGAAGGACGAATTAGTGGCGGAGCTTGAAAAGGGGGACGATGCAGAGGATGAGGCGGACCAGTCCGATCTCGAGGAAGTCGATGCAAAGCACAAAGCAAAAGACGACGGCGACCTTCAGGTGGCAGCACCAGACGACAATCTGATCAAGAGAGACTGGCATGATTACACGGCAATAGAGCGGGACAGAAAGCGCGTTGGCATCGGCGAGCAGGGCGTGGCGGCGAAGCTGGAAGACGAGAGTCAGCGGGAATATGAGAGGGCCCTCTCGCTCGAGAACGGCTTCAATGCGCTGCTCTCCGACTCCATATCTGTGAATCGCTCCGTTCCTGACATACGGCATAAGGAGTGGGTACCAATTCAGTGTTTGATTCACCTTTTGCTCTCGTTTCTAACTCGCCCTTCTCTTCGCAAACAGCTGCCGCAAGAAGTTGTATCTCAGCAAGCTTCCTACGGTGTCCGTAATCATCATCTTTTACAATGAATATATGTCTGTGCTCATGCGGTCCGTGCACAGTCTAATCAACCGATCGCCACCGGAGCTGCTCAAGGAGATCATCCTCGTGGACGACTTCAGTGACCGTGACTATCTCTTCAAGCCGCTGGAGGATTACATTGCCCAGCATTTTACCAAAGTGCGCGTCGTGCGGCTGCCACGACGGACGGGCTTGATCGGTGCTCGCTCTGCGGGTGCCCGGAACGCCACTGCCGAAGTGCTCATATTCCTGGACTCGCACGTCGAGGCCAACTACAATTGGCTGCCACCGTTGCTGGAGCCGATTGCTCAAAACAAGCGCACCGCCGTCTGTCCGTTCATTGACGTGATTGACCACAGTAATTTTAACTATCGAGCCCAAGATGAAGGCGCGCGTGGCGCCTTCGACTGGGACTTTTTCTACAAACGTCTGCCACTGCTCCCCGAGGATCTGAAACATCCAGCGGAGCCGTTCAAGAGTCCTGTCATGGCGGGCGGCCTCTTTGCCATTTCCGCCGAGTTCTTCTGGGAGCTGGGGGGCTACGATGAGGGACTGGACATTTGGGGCGGTGAGCAGTACGAGCTGAGCTTCAAAATCTGGATGTGTGGTGGGCAGATGTACGATGCGCCCTGCTCCCGAATAGGCCACATATATCGCGGCCCACGCAATCACGTGTCGAATCCACGCGGAGGCGACTATTTGCACAAAGTGAGTAATTGAATAACTCTTATCAGCTATCAGTTGCAGTCTATAAGATATGATGTTCCGTAAATAGAACTACAAGCGCGTGGCTGAGGTCTGGATGGACGAATACAAGCAGTACTTGTACAACGGCGCAGATGGCGTCTACGAGCGTATAGACGCAGGTGATCTAACGGCACAAAAGGCCATACGGACGAAGCTCAAGTGCAAATCGTTCAAGTGGTTCATGGAGAATGTGGCCTTTGACTTGATAAAGAACTATCCGCCCATCGACCCGCCCGACTACGCCAGTGGCGCCATCCAGAATGTGGGCGACCCCACGTTGTGCGTGGATACGCTTAGCAAGCCACGCCACAATCGGGTAGGCATATACTCGTGCGCCCGAAATCTGGTGAAGCCACAGCGCACGCAGTACTGGTCGCTCAGCTGGAAGCGAGACTTGCGGCTGCACCGCAAGAAGGACTGCCTCGACGTCCAGATATGGGATGCCAACGCGCCCGTTTGGCTGTGGGACTGCCACGGGCAGCAAGGCAATCAGTATTGGTACTATGACTACCGCACCAAGCTGATCAAGCACGGCAAAGAGGGCAAGCGGTGCATGGAGCTCCTGCCGGACACCGAGGAGCTGGTGGTCAACGCTTGCGATGAGAAGAACCGCCTAATGCAGTGGAACTTCGGGTTCGTCAACAAAACCGCACTGGACAACTACGACGTAGACTTAGAGCTGAAGCTCGACATGTTTTAAGACGCGCTCGAGCCACTTGCCATGTACTTAATAATGAAATTGTAAAGTCTAATTTTGAGAGTGGTGTAGTTGTGTGTACATAAGTATTCGCATAGGCCTATCTATATACATATACTAGATCGTAAGCAGGATTGCCCCAAGTTGTCTTCGCACATTCCATTGTCAGTTGCTAGTTAACATACATACATACATATGTATATACATACAATGCAATAAATGTGACTATAAATTAAACGTCGGCAACGATTTGTGTTTAACTTTGTTTGTCGTTTTATTTAATATTAATATCTGTTTGCTTTTCAATACGCGTACTTTTAAATAAATATAATTTTTTGTTTCATTTCGTATTCTTTATATAAGTTTTTATTTGTTTTTTTCTTTCTTTTTCTCGTATGCTCTTATTCATTTGCATATTTATTTATCGTTTTACAATATGTATCATCATCATCGTTATCATCATGATTAGCTCCCATCTCAATATCTTCATCTTACATATTTTTTGTGTAGATCTTTTACGTGCATTGGGTTTCTAGTGTTTCATTCTGTTGACATTTCATTAAAATTAATATACGCCAATATTTCGAGTATATATTTTATAAACATATATATATATATATATATATATATATATAGTATATATATGTATGTGTGTGTATCTTTCATTTCCCATAAATAACAAAAAGTAAAAAACAAACACTTTGTAAACTCGTTTATAAATTAATAATGGCAAAATGTTGGATTTCCTTTTATTTTGAAAATTATATAAAAAGCATTTACAAACTATAATAGTTGTTGGCTTGCATAATCATTTAATCAATTATCAATTATCATAATTTATATTTATATTTATAAACATTTAAATATTTATCAAAACATGTTTTTTCTTGTTGCTCAAAAGTCTTCTTCGCTGCCTTACATTTACATACATACGTTTTACATTTATGATTCTCTCTGTTTCGTCTTCATAATTTCAAATTATAAGCATAAGTATACATATATTTATATAATATATTAATAACCATTTCTTGTGCAAAATAATTTCTTCTTCATCTTCTTCTTCTTGTTTTTAGTTTTGTTTAGACTAATTTGATTTGAAATTCAGTTGCGCTGCCATTTTGCTTGCCTTCTTTTGTTTTTGTTTTTATTTTTGGATGGATGTAAATTAATTAATTGAGTTAGCTTTTTACAACAATTCATGCGTGAAATGAATAAGCAAATATATTGTGTCCTTTAGTTAATTATAGTTGTTGTTGTGTACTTAATACTTGCTTGGTTTCGAGTCTTTTTTTTTTTTTTTGATTTTTAGTTTTCTTTTCGAATTTGCTTTAACATTTACAGCATATTATAATTGAAACAAAATTATGCCTTTTGGGCGCGCATATGTAAATAATAGAACTTAATTTCCTTTTTCTTTATTTCATACGTGTATGTCTGGGATATTTGTTTCTTATTTTTTTATTTTTTTTTTTTTTTAATATTTGCTTTTTGTTTTGTTTTGTTGTAGCTTAAACTTAATTTATGAATAAGGTTTAAAAAATGTCTTCATTCTTTACGCGCTGCTCCCATCTTTGCTTCATTATGTTTCTTCTCCCTTTCTTCCATTCATTCTTCACGTTATGCTTATTTATGTGCTTTTTTACGTATGCTTAACTTAAAATGCTGCCCACCCCAGCCCCCTCTTTATTTCTCTTTATGCTCTTCATGTGCTCACTTCTCCGCCTGACGCACACTTACTACATATGTACATACAAATATGCTTGTATGTAAATTTGCTCTTGCTTCCTTTCTCTTTTGCTTTGTAGTTCGCCTTTGTAACGCTCGTTCTGTGTGTCTGCGCGTGTGTGTGTGTTGGTGTTTGCTTGTGAATGTAGTGCTTGCAGTTAACGGTAAATTAAATGTCGCAAATGCAGCTCTCTTGCGTGCAGAGCGCAGAGAGTGCGGACGATCGAAAGAGAGTCGCGCACCAAGAGAGCTGCATTTGCTGGCTGCCAATTTGAATTCGCTTGGCGCTGCAAAGTATGCAACAGCGCCAAAAGAGAGTCAAATTGGACGAATGCTAAAAGCTAAATGGAAAATATATTTTATTTCGGTGTAGTAAAAATTGTTAGCAACTATTTATAAGTGTTTTTGTTTTGTATTTTGTTTAGTTGTTTGCGAAATTGTTTACGTTGTTTCTAGTTTGCTTTAAAAATTGGTTTATTTGTACTTTTGGCAATGATCTTTTACGAGTATCCCTCCACTAATGAGTGTTTTTTTATTTATTTATTCTTTTGTTTTTGTTTTTCTTGATTTGTATTTGTATTTCGTCATTGATTTGCTCATAATAGAAGCTCAAGCAAACATTACTTTAGCAATTTAGTTTATTAGGTTTTTGTTGTTGTTTCTTTTAGTTCATCAGTTTCCGTTTTCTAGTGTTTGTTCTGTAGTTTGCTTTGTTTGATTCTTAACAGAAGGAGAGAACAAAATGTAAAAAATAAATCATTTAACAGAAATTGCCAACAATATAGCTGCGCTAAAAAACATAGATTTTCTTCATTCTTCTTCTTCTTCTTCTTCGTTTCCTATATGTATGTATGTATATGTATATGAATATGAATCTAACTGCATTCTCATCCAGTTCGTGAACTAGGCTTGTGTGAGAGTGTATGTATGCATATGTGAGTGTGTTGCTGTTGCTGTTGTTGTTGTTATTGTTGCTGTGAATGTAGTGGAGCTTTGGTAGTGTATTACTGCATGCTGACCGGGTATATCCAATTGCAACTGCGTTGCCTGCTCCCCAATCCTAATCTCAATCCCACAGCCCCAACCCCAACCCCCTCGTATGGCACACGGTATCAGGACGCGTTTACAAAAATAGTTATTATGAGAATATCTTTCAGTCGTTTGTCAAACAACTACCAGTAGTAGTAGGCGCCTATCCCCATCTGGCGGTGGTAGGCGCTCAGGCTTGCTGCAACGGCTGCGGCGCCGGAGGAGGCGGCACGGCTCCTGGAGTCGTTGCCTGCTGCGCTGTGGGGCCATTGGCATTGCTGTTGCTGTTGCTGGTGCCATTGGTGGCGCTGCCATTCGTGGACGATGTTGGACTGCTATTGCCCTCCTGGTAGGGCCCCGTAACTACGCATGGGTGCATAGGGAACAGGGTCGTCCACGACGTTGTTGTTAGTGTTGGTGCGTGGAGGGCAACTTTCTCGTTTTTTGGCTGCTCGCTATTGTTGTTGTTGTTGTTGGTGCTGTTGTTGTTGTTCGACTGTGTCTTCTTGCTGGCCTCGCTCTTCTTCTTCTTGCTGCCACTGGCCCCATTCTTAATGGCGCCACCACTCCCACTGTTCTCCTTCTTGATGGTGGGCAGGGTCGGGGTTGCAGTCGCCGCCAGCTGCTCGTCAGGCATATCCTCGTCCTCGTCGTCCTCGCCGGCTGCCTTCTTCAGCAGACGCTCGCGCTCCTCTTTGGCTTTGTTGTCGAGGTCCGTGTTGATCTTCTTCACGCGCATCTTCTCCTCCCACTCGTCGATGCCGTGCCTGGCACGATTCAAGTTGCGGTGCTGGTAGAAGATCAGGGTCATGCGCGTCGGGTGGTGGCGATCCGGTCGCCGCACGGCTGTCGTCGCATGCATCTCGTGCTTGGCGCACTCGATCAGCACGCTGCCGTGATTCAGCGCAATGGCCACGCCGCCCATCTGCGGATCCTGGAACGCCTCAATGTTCTCATTGATCTCGGCCACCTCGCCAATTGGCTCGATCTTGGTCGAGTTGGTGCTGGCTGGCGCCACAGTTGTTGCCGTCGTGTTGCCGCCAGCGCCAGCCGCGTTGCCGTTGGCATCGTTGCTGTTGCTGTTGCTGCTGTTGCTATTGTTGCTGTTGTTGCCAAGCGGCGGCACCTCAACAGCACTTGCTGCAGTGGGCTCCACGGGCAGCTGGCCATTGCTCAAGTCGGGCAAAATAGTTTGAGGCGGTGTTGCTGGCAACTGTTGCTGCTGCTGTTGCTGTTGCTGTTGCAGCTGCTGTTGCTGCGGCTGCTGCAGCTGCTGTTGCTGTTGTTGTTGCTGCTGCTGTTGCTGCTGCGGCACAGCGGTTGGCACCGTTGGCTTGACCAGCGTGGCTCCGGATGGCACCGGGCCGTGCGTGGCCAGCAGTGTCCCACCAGCCCCTCCAGCCCCCGGGCCGTAGCCCCCAGAGCCCTGGTGATGGCCGTAGACATTCCAGTTGGGCGAGGGCGGTGGCGGCGTGGGCGGCGGCGTCTGCTGCGGATACATGCCGTACGGCGAGTACGCCTGGTGGTGGTAGCCGTAGTTGTAGTTCATGTTCTGGTAGGCGTCGTACGCGGAGTAGGCGGAGTGCGGCGGCGGCGGCGGAGGCGGGTACATCTGATAGTTGTTCGGGTACTGCGAGTACTGGTAGTCGCTGGGCGGCGGCTTTGGCTTGACGAAGCCCTCTGGCGTGTGCGGATGGTGGTGGTGGTGGTGGTGGAGTGGTGCTAGATTAGTCATGGGTTGCATGGCTGTCAAAGCGGTTAACTTACTCTCGACCAGTGAGTGATTGACCAGCGTCGTCGAGTCGGGGTTCTCCTCGCTGACGCGGCCCTTAAGCTCACCACCAGCAACAGCGCCGGCCACATCGACACCGCTTTGTTGTTGTTGTTGCTGTTGTTGCTGCTGCTGTTGCTGTTGTTGTTGTTGTTGCTGTTGCTGTTGTTTTTGTTGATGCTGTTGCTGCTGCAGTTGTTGCTGCTGCTGCTGATGTTGCTGCTGTTGCAACTGCTGCTGCTGCTGCTGGTGTTGCTGTGTGCCCAGTGCTGGCGTTGCCAGGTTGTTGTAGCTGGACGTGTAGCCATTGCTAGCGTCGTGCTGAGTGGGCGTGGGGGTCACCGTGGCGGGCGTGACGGGCGGCATAGCTGTGCCTGTTGCGGCTGGAGAAACGGTTGTTGCCGAGGCCGCTGTCGCTGCAGTTGCAGAAGCTCCTGCTGCTGCTGTCGGTGGCGTCACAGTGTGCGCGTGCTGCGCCATCGGCGCCGTGGGCGTGGTCGGCGTGAGGGCCGCACTGCCAGCGGCCATGCCCATGGCGTGGGCCGGCCAGTTGCCGTAGTAGTTGCGCGAGTCGATGTAGGAGCCCGTCTGGTAGTCGTAGGAGTAGGGCGAGTCTAGCACGGTGCTCGAGATCTGGTTGGACTGTAGCTGGGCGTCCGTGAACGTGTCTATCATCGTGGCCATGTTCATGAGGCTCGAGTTCGAGCTCATCAGCTGGTTGGGCTGCCCGCCCGGCGGACCTGCTCCAACTCCTGCTGCCGAGCTGTTGTTGCTGGCGTTCGGATTGCCGGCGTGCTGATTGACGGGCGGCGTGCTGAATGCGCTGCCCGCCGGACTGGGGTTGTTTGTGACGGGCGTCTGGCAGCGTGGCGAGGGCGTCGTTGGCGGCGCCGAGCCCGGCGTGGATGCACTGGAGCTCGACTTGGCCTTGGACTTTGATTTGTTATTGTTGTTGCTGTTGCTGGCATTGTTGCCGGCGCTGCTGCCATTGCTGGCGCCGTTCTCCTTCTTGATGTGAGCAGAGGCCAGGCCGGGCGGACTGCTCTGCTGGGACGACGCTTGCTGGGCCTGCGATTGGGCGCCGTTGCTGGAGCTCTGACTGCTGCCGTCAGCGGCTGCGTCATGGTCGCCATCCGGCGTCGCGGCTTCGTCCTCCTTGCGCTTCTTGCCGTGCCGGCGACAAGGTATCAGCGGCGTGGAGCGCACGCGTACTTCGCAGGGAAATCTACGAGTGGGAGAAGGAGACGGATTAATGCTAGTCACCAACAGTCCGAGCTGCAGTTGGTAGCTCAAAACTCAACACTACACTCACTTGTCCAGCATTTGCACAGCTCCGGTGCGATGCTTATCACGCTGCCCCTCGACGCTCTCGAACTCGTCGGTGCCGTCCATCGTGTAGAGCGGCAGGACGTGGAACTGCTCGTCGTCGGGCAGGTGGGTATCGCGGTTGCTGGGCTTGAGCAGGGCCACGTGAACGGTGCAGCCGTCCTGCATGTTGTGCAGGTCGCGGTGCGAGTGGGCGCAGAAGTCCAGGCAGGCGGTTACCCCCGAGAAGGGCTTGCCCGGCTCGAGGCCGAGCCGGCAGTCGGATGCCTCATGCTCGTACTTGGTCTGATTGTCGTAGGAGCGCGGACACACCTGTTTGAACACTGGCGCCAGCAGCGTGGCAATCAGATTCATGTGGTCCTCGATGGCCGCCTCCTCGCTCTTCACCGACAGCCGGAACTTGCGCACGGTCTTCGAGCGGGCGTACTTGCAGCCATTGTAGTACATGGACCAGCTGCAGCCAAAGCTGTAAGAGGCGCCTGATGACTCCGGATCCAGCCCTGCAATAGCTCAATAAGTAACGCATAACAGTGCGCTGGCGGCAGGTGCGCTTACCTTGGCAGGCACAGGTGCGATTCTCATTAGTCGCGCAACGGCGCGTCGTGGGTAGCCCGAACTTGTTGAGCTTGGGTATGAGGTTCACATAGGCATCGTCCGCCTCCTTGCGCGGCATCCCATCCCAGGCCACCATGCATACGACAATATAGGCGGCAATGCACCTGAAACGGGACTCACGTTGCACTCACACTGCTTTCACGGCTATGGATGTGGCCGGCTTACCTGTGACCGGGACGCTTCTTGACAACCACAAGTATCTTCTCCTCGGGATCGGCGCGCCTGATCACCCACTTGGCCACCGGGCAGCCCTGACTGGTCTTGCCCTCCTTGCCCGTGTAGACGATCTTCTCGATGCGCAGCTGACGACCCGTCAGATGGCACCGTTCCTCGAACTCCCGTCGCAGCTCCATCAGCGTAGATGCGGTGCCTATGATGGACGAAACAATGATTAGGTCAAATACAAAAGGCTTCCCACAAATTATACTTCAAGGAGCCACCTGCTCCACTTCAACTAGTCTTAGCCCTTTTACTTACCCAAATGCGTATAGTAAGTGCCCGGCTCGGGTGGATTCTTGTCGGACTGGAAGCATTCGCATTCGGGTATCTCGGTTTTGTTGCCCTTCTCGAGGCGATCCGTCGTATCGAACATGGGATTGATCTTCTCGTGCTTCACAATTATCTCAGGTATCTCCTCCTGCTTTTGCTTCTTCGTCTTGGCCTTGACGCCATTGTGCGCCTCGGCCAACTCATCCTCGTCCAGGAGCTCCTCCTTGGGCTGAATGCTCAGGCCCAGGCACGTGCCGCCCTTGAGGTGCTCCTCTGTGGGTGGCCGGGTGCCGCCTTGACGACAGCAGGAGAAGCCATTGTTCAGCGGCTTACCCTCACCGAGATATGGATAGCCATGGCCGTGGCCGTGACCATGGCCCAGCATGCCCATGTCGTCCAGCTTGGACTCCAGCATGCCGTGGTGGCTGAGGTGGGGCGGAGGCGGTGGTGCTCCATGGCCCAGCGCATAGCGATGAGCCGGAATGGGGTACGCGTGCGCTGGTATGTCCTGCTCGTAGTTGGTGGGCAGTGGTATGATGCTGTTCGTGTCCGGCTTCCGGTCCAGCTCCAGCATGCTGTTGCCGTGCCCGTGCCCGTGGCCGTGGGGCGCGTGGTGCACAGAGTTCGATGGCAGCTTACCACGGCTCCCGTACGCCGCTGCTGCCTGATAGCCGGGCACAAAGCTCTGCTGAAAGTTCTGCTGGAAGCTGCCGGCTCCTGCGCCGTAGTACGGCGAGTTGTGGTGGTAGCCGGCATACTCCTGCTGGTGCTGCTGCACCGGCTGCCCCTGTCCGTCGTTCTGGCAGAAGTCGGCATACTGAATGAAGTTCTGGTAGTTACGCTCGTAGCCCTCCATCTTGTTGGGCTGCCCGCCTGGCGGCGGAGGGGGCAACAGGCCCGGCTCCGTTTTGATATATTGGCCGTGGTACTCCTGCCCGCTGCCCGGCGGAGGCGGATAGTGTGCGCCCAGGGCCTTGAGGCCTCCGCCACCCGGATCGTTCGCATTGCGATCCCTTTCAATCTCAGCAGCCGCTGCTTCTGCGGCAGCGGCAGCGGCGCGGCTCGCCTTGCTGCGATTCCGCGACTTCTTGGGCTGAGGCTGCACCGGCGGCTGTATGGGCATGGATGGTGGCTGGGGCGGCTGCTCCGCATGGCTGATGGTCATGTGCTGTCCTGGCTGATGTTGCTGCAGCTGCAGCTGCAACTGATGGTCTGTGCCGGCGTAGCCGCTGCCCACGCTGGGCTTCTTAAACGAGTTGGCGTGGTGCGGCTTCCAGATCTGATCGCCACCACCTCCGATGGGCTCGGCAGCGCCCAGCGGGGGTGCGATGCTGCTCGAGCCGTTGGCGCTCAGCGCCGTGTCGGGCCGGAGATGGTGGCTATACGATAAAAAATGACCGGTTTGCTGTTGCTGCTGCTGCTGCTGCTGCTGCGCGGCAGTTGCGCCAGCTGTCTGGCCTTGCAGCTGAATGTCGGGCGGGGCATCCTTGGAATCGCTCTTGCGCATGATCATCGACTTGATGCGCGTATTCAGATGCAAGCGTTCGCCCTGACCCTGCGCCGGGTAGCCGTCGTTCGTCAGCTGCTGCTGCTGTGCAGAGGGCGGCTGTTGCTGTTGCTGCTGCTGCTGCTGCTGCTGCTGATTGCTCCAGTTCCAGTCCTGCATGGGCGGCGAGGCAAGATGTGGATGTGTCTGCTGCTGCTGCTGGGGCTGCACGCTGCTGCCGTACGGCTGAAGGCCGTTGCCGTTCGGTGATTGCGGCACTTGACTGGGCGACTGGGAGACAAGGCGTGGCTGCTGCTGCTGTTGTTGCTGCTGTTGCTGCTGCTGTTGCTGTTGCTGCTGCTGTATGAGGCTGCGTGTGGGGGATGGCGGCACCGTTTGGGGCTGCTGCTGCATGGGAGAGCTGGCTGGCTGGGAAACCACCGCATTACCAGGCCCAGTGGCTGTGGGCGTGGCTGCACCGCTGGGCGTTGCTGTTGTCGTCTGTTGTTGTTGTTGTTGTGGCTGTTGTTGTTGCTGAGAACCGCTGAAATCGCCTGGATACCCGTTACAGTTGAGTGAGCGCGGCGGCACGCTGCTCACCCGCGGATATCCAGGCGTGTCGTTTCCCGACATGCTCTTGCTCAGATCGCCGCCCAGATGCTGTTGCTGCTGCTGCTGTTGCTGCTGCAGGCCAACTGCTGGTGGCGCCGGCGCCGTAGACACCTGCCCGGCATAGCTAACGCCGCCCGGCGGAAAGCCCGCCGCGACGCTCTGCAGACCCACCTGGTTGATGGGCGCACTCGAGAGCTGCTGGCTTTGGAAATCGTAGCGCTGCACGGGCGCACCGTACGGGGAGCGGCCGTAGTTGGGATCGAAGCCGAGACCCGTCTGCACGTAGCCATTTGATGGATAGGCGTAGGACTGTGTCTGGAAATCCAAGGAGTTGAGTGATGTGATGGCTGGAGTATTCTGTGGTATTTGCTGTATGAACTGGTTCTGCCACCCCTGTGACGGATCCGCCTGCCATGTGGGATAGAAGGCCATGGGTGCCTGCGGGAAGAACAATTTGTATATAGATTATATGTGAGTAAAAACTAGTTTATAATATTGTTCAATGAGGATTATTAGATTACTTATTCAGTTAACAATTCTCCCCAGTCATTTTTCAAGACGAGATTTGAGCTTAATCCATGTAGGTAAATTCTTTCCCATGTAGATACAGAGCTACCTCTTAGATATTTTCGCATTCTTAGTCTGACTATGATTTGATTGATCGCATATTCAAGTAATATTTATTTCTAGTCTATTTTCAAGACAAGATTTCGAAATCGATTTGAAATACAATCTATATCTACAGTATTTCCATATTGGGAGCGATAATATATGTACATGTATACATATATATAAATATTTTTATCATATTAAGAAGATGTTGGATCGGCTATTCAGTGAAGACATTCTCAAGTCCTACAAGTCTACATAAGTACTTGTATATGCTTAACATTTTCGTATTTAGTTAGTTATTCACTGTCTTTCCTAGTAATATAGAACATATCCACGCTCTATTTCACATGCCCTACCCTTTTACCTATTATATTTTCGCACGAAACAAACAACACCAGAAATGTAACCCTGCCTGGTTTCATATTTAGTTACAAACTATTAGGCAAACCTGATTATGATATAGCTCAAAATATGTAGTTAGCAATCGACCAACCCACTTTGGGCCCTTAGGAGCCCTTCCTCTTCCTCTCTGTCGCTCTCACTCTCGCTCTCTCCCTCTCTTACCAACCCTTCACATAGGCCATCATCAGGAGCTGCCTGTTAAAAATTGCTTTTCTGTTTCCGTTGTTTTTATTTGTTCCTGTTGCTGCGGGGCGTAAATCAAATAAGCCGCACCCCAATTAGGCGGCATATTAATTGGCCCCGGCTTCAAAAACAAATAAACGCACAGAAATAATATCTAAACAAAACAACAACAACAACAACAACAACCGCAATAACAACTATAACATGCCAAATATTTATGGCATTCAACTCCGGCCTGCGCTTGGAATTAGACTACAGCATTCGGGTGTCGGAATTATGAAAGTGAAAGTCGTGAGCATGCCGAGGTACACAAACTGACAGCAGCCACTGTCAGATACACAATAAAATCAAATAAACATATATACATATACATATGTATATATTTATTAAAATATGAAATATTCAAATTTTTATTTTATTTTATTTTATTTTTTGTGTGCTGGGGCAAGTTTTATAGTCCATTTGGCTTTGAGGTTGTGTTTAATTTATGTTGTAAAAATAGACTGTATCTGTATGTGTGTGTGTGGAAATGTGCACCTGGTGATGACAGCTGCTGCTGTTGTTGTTGCTGCTGCTGTTGTTGTTGTTGTTGTGTGGTTTGCGTTTTATTTTTGAAAGCATTTAGCAATCATTGATAAAAATCGAAAAATTGTTTATGAATGAACACACGTCTGTATGTGTGCCTGTCTGTGTGTGTGTCTGTCTGTGCCTGTCTGTGGGTGTGTGTGCGTAGTTTGCTTTTGCGTCCGTCCCTCTGCACAGCATTTATTTGCTTTCGTTTCGTGTGCACAGCTGCAGCTGATTGGACGTGTGTGACGTATACGCAATGTTGGCCAGCGGCGCTATTGAGTTTTAATTTATGTTATTTGCCATTGTTGTTTTTAATTCATTTCATTTTGCAGCAGATGAACTGATTGAAGGTCAATGCTCGTTGCTGTTGTTGTTTTAATTGGAAATTCCGATTGCAAACAGAAAAAATAGTTTGAAACTGTTCGATGTTTTGGGTGTACTCACCATGGGTTGCTGCGGTTGATCCTTCATGGTTTGTATTTGTGCGGTTATTTGATGTTGCTGCTGGTGCAAATGTTGCTGCTGTTGCTGCTGTGCGTGCTGCTGCTGGTGATGCTGCGATTGATGCTGCTGCTGCTGCAAATGTTGCTGCTGATGGAAATGCTGTTGCGGCTCCGGCTGCTGCTGATAGTGCTGCGACTGCTGTTGATGTTGTTGTTGAAGCTGCTGCTGCGGCTGCGGCTGTTGCTGGTGCGACAACAATTGCTGCTGCAGTTGCTGCTGTTGATATTGTTGCTGCTGCTGCAAGCTGCCGGCGGCTGCAACTGTTGCTGTTGTGGTATTTGGCGATTGCTGCGGCAACAATGTTGCTGTTGCTGGCGCTGGACTTAGACGCGGCGATGTTGCTGATGCGGCTGCAATGCCAACGGCGGATGCATTCAGTTTATTTGCTTTGGTGGAGGTTTTGCGGGCGCGTGACTGCAAATAAAATACAAAAGTTGACAAACTGTTAAAACGCATTCAGATATCTGAGCAGAGGCAGCAATAAACAGTTGTTGCATTCGCTGCCCTTGTCGCAGCTTTATGGGCGGCTGACCTTCGCAACGGCAGAGTTTGTGCCTCGAGTTTTATCACTGTTTGCCCAGCGGCAATGCGTTCTACTCGAAGCCCTAATTATGCAATTGCCATCGCAGTCTGTATTGCTCCGAGCTGTTCTACTTAGTGCTGCAATTAGTTGAATAATTTGATTTCATTTCTATAATTAAGGAAATTTGTTGTTAGACGCGCAAATATTTTAATTGCCGCACATTCAGCTGCAGTCTACCCCCTCTCGCTCTCCCTCTCCTTCTCCCTCTCTCACACTCGCTCTTGGTATAATTTATGCTTGCAGCGGACACATAATTTCGACTTGTTTCTTTTTTTCGAGTCTGCACGCCGGCAACATGTAAAATTTATGTGGCCAGCGATTTATGTGCAATTTATTTGTGCAGCCGAATACATAAAAAAAAAACGAGCATGGCAAAAATGCAGCAGCAACAACAACAATGAGAAATAACAGCTGCGGTTGCCATTTATTGTTGTTGTTGCTGCTGCTGCTGCTGCTGCTGCAGTTGCTACTTGGTCTAAAATATGTTGCGCGCACCATTAAAGGCTCTGGCAATTTATGTTTATAAAAGACTTTTGTCGCTGCTTCTCAGCTATTTGTATTTGATAGCTGCAGTTGCAATTCTTACTCAGCGACGTATGCTTACTTCTTTAATCGAATACCAAATATTTGAGATATTCTCCAAAAGAGTTTAAGGCTAAGAAACTTCTGGAATATTAATTCAGTTTACACTGGCTCATGCAGTAAATTGAAATAGTTAAGTATATTAAAGGATAGAAAAGGATGGGATAGGATAGGATAAGTTAGGATAGAATAGTTAGGTAACTAGGATAGGATAGGCTAGGAGGGGCTAGGATAGGATATGTTTCGATAGTTAATATATAAATTGTTGTTTAACTATATACTAACTATCCCTTGCTATCCTATCCTCAGGATAGTTAATATATATTATCCTTTACTACCCTTAACTCTTTCATTTCTCTTTGGAATATAACTAAGTCTGCTGAGTGAGTTGATGTATAGAAGCAGCGTTCATCTCTTCCATTAATTATTTCACATAATCACTATTAAATATAGTTTGAAATTAAGAACGTATAGATTTTCTTTTTTTTTATAAATTGATAACTATTTATCAGAAATTATTTACAAATCAACATGAAATGTGTTGGCATTTTATTCTAAATGCTATCATAAATAAATACATACGCATTATAGTATATGTGCTTGTATTTAATCTAATTTTTGTATAATCTACTTATATATATGTTAATATATAAATCGTTACTAATTGTCTTCAAGAACCACTTCAGTTTCTAAATTTGACTCATTCAATCGATTAATCAATTTCGTTCGAGTTTCAATTTCGTTTTATATACTTGGCCAATGCTCTGACTGAGACTGATAATAATTTCGCTCCAAGTGGAGGTCTTTATCAAATCGCAATGTAATTGGTCTAATTGGAGTAAGCAGAATTTAATTCTTGAATTGGAGTCGAAATGCTTTTGGCTTTTTAACTGCATAGTTGTGTGTGCACAGATTGTCTAGTGATACGGATTGGCCAATTAAAGAGGCTTACTTCTCGAATTTGCGCAGACAACAATAAATAAATGTTGCACAAACAGACAAACAGACAAACAGAAAGTCTGCATAGAACAACAAACCAAATCGTTTGTGCAAATTGCCAGCAAAAATATGATTTATATTTTCCACATGTGTAAAATATTTTCCCAGCGTGTCTCTGTGTGTGTGCGTGTCTTGGCCAGCATAATGCAATGCAAACACAACTACAACAAGGAGCCGTCCAATTGGCACTCAAATGCCTCTCGGCCTCAGCTGGTGACAAAGCAACGAAATAATTTGTGCAAACAGAGTTTGGAGCCATTTATGTATGTATGTATGTATGTATGTGTGCATATTTACCCAAACGGAGTGAAGCTCAGCTGGGGAGGCCCTCTCTGCGAATGCTTTCTAAAAATATTTGCATGTCGCAGGTGCCAGAAAAAAGGCATAAATAAATTACATTTAAATAAATTTGCACGCAATTGAAAATTGGAAAAATTGGCAATTATTTGTGCAAAGATTTTCTTATGATAATATTCCCAAAAAAAAGGCACACACAGACAGACATGTATGTCTATGTATGTACAATATATATCTATTGCTATGGCAATAATCAAGGTACATATTTTTTGTCTCGTTGCACAGTGTTTGCATAGGCCATGGCTAACAACAACAACAACACGAACTACAATTGCAATGACAAACGGGCTTTAGTTATTTATGCATACGTGTAAAAAACACACAAAATGGAAAACTCCATTTAGGCAACATCGAGTGGTAAATACCCTAATTGATAGAAATGTTGCCCAACTCAAATTTGAATTGGAGGGAGAGAGGCAGAGGGTAATTTGTAGGTATAGAAAGCGAAGAAACTCTGAGGCAAAGTTGCGGAAATAATTTAATTAAATATAATATCAATATACATAAATGATAAATATGTAATATCTAATTGAACTCACGAAATGATTTATTCAAAAATAGATAAGAAAATATGGAGAATGAGAGGAGGACAGCAAACCCAGTCTGCAAAGTGAGTTTGCCTTTGAGTATGTATTCGGAACAGATTTCTATTCAATTAAGGTTTATATTCAGCTTGCATATTTCAGCAGATTAAGACGCATAAAGTTGTTAGCATTGAATGATTTATGATTCCTCGAACTCATTTTGCTGACTTGGCAATGCTTAAACAAATATAAATAAATAATTTAATTTTTTTGTTTACGAAATATTTATGTAGACTAAATTGAATATGATTCATTTCACTGGATGTCGGCAAATTTGCGCCATTTAAGAGCTCGTGATCTTTAAAGCTTAATAATACTGGAAGTACTCATCTGCGACTTCAGTAATTCCAGTCCTTTATGCAATTCAACATTAGTTAGGGTATTCAAAACTGCATTTGCTCCACTTTGTACGCAGTTCATAAAAGTTAATTAAATGTTTATGAGCGTCGTTTGTTTGCTTCGCGGCGTTTTTATTTCAATATCGTGTTTTTTCTCTCAACTATTTATCATTGTTCCGCTTGTTCTTCTCTTCTGTTTTTATATTTATTTTTTACTATGTCAATGCAGTTTTATTTATTTGTGGGTAGAGTAAACATCTATAAGGAGGCAAATAGATAGACGCAGATAGAGATTAGTGGCCTCTTATCTTTGGGCGCAGCATAAACTGCAACATGCAACGAACTAAACGTGGCGGCCTTCAAGAAAGAGAGAGAGCAAGGTATAGATAGATAGAAAGAGAGAGAGCTTCTACTTCTCGCTGTGTGCGTCGACAAAAGTTGCTTTCAGTTCTTACAGAAAATAAAATTGCGCGCAGAGCAAACAGCAATTAGTTGTGCCTGTGCGTGTGTGTTTCGATGTGTGTGTGTATGTGTGGGTGGGTGTAAATAAGTTTATTACTATTTACATTGAACTGCCCGCTGTCCTGATAACAGGCAACAAGCCACGAAATAGCATCAAATAATAAAAATAAAAAAAGTAAAATAAAAGGTAATGAAAAGTATTTTTACTTCGACTCGACAAAAGATAGAGCAAGCTAACGGTTTACATAGATAAATGTATTTAAGCATACATATAACCGTAATTTAGAACATTGTATTATACATATTATATTATATGTATTATATATATTATAGTGAGATACGGATAATTCTAAAAAGTGGCCTTCATAAAGATTTAAGAGATTCAGCTTTCAGTATACCTAACTGTTTATAAGTTTACTGCAAATGATTTAAAGATGTCATTAAAATAACGCTCTAAAGGCTTAAACATTTGCCAAATAGATTTCAAACTGAACTGAACTGTAAAAGAAGATATTAAATTCATACCGGAATATACTTTTATAATTAGATATATTATGTCATACAATTAACATACTATAATTATTCCATTGAATTTCAATAACTCAACTAGAAGAATCTTTAGAATTTGCATGGCAAACACAACAACAACAACAAGATAGATCGATCATTGCCTTCCCTTTCTCTCTCTCTCTCTCTCTCTCTCACACACACACACTTTCTGCTGTATTTCTCTGATATTGATAAGAGCGAGGACGGAGCACAATTATAACTAACACCTCGAGCTCATACATGTGTGTGTGTGTGTGTGTGTACCCTGCCATAAATTACACATATAACAGGGTATGCCATATAAATTATTTACATGTCCCCGATGTCAAAGTCTGCTGATAAGTTTGCCGGGAGAAGAGAAACAACAATAAATGAATAAAAATAAAGAAAACAAGGTAAAAAAAAAAAAATCCCACACACACACACATATATGCGGCGAAATGTAAATAAAATATAAATAAATCAAATATTAGTTATCATGTTTTCTCCTCTGCTGCGATATTTATATTCCTCTTTATCTAGGTCTGTCAGTACAGTGAACACCAAGAACCAAGAAATTGAACGCGATATTGCTCGACAAATCAAATATATCAACGTTGCTCTATATAAATATATATATTTATATATATTTATCTTCTTTAATCGATCTGATGTCTATTCTCGCTATAGTAAAATGTTTGTTGTTGCTTCATTGCTGCGTTTATTCCTTCTATTCTATTATCCATCCAATAATAATATTGGTTTAAGTGAGTCAGCACTTAGTGCAGGAGCTGCGATTAGAACAGCATCCAATGCATATCCTTTGGCATATCCTTGTAAATGCAACTGCAGCAGATACACACACACACACACACACACACACACACATACAGATATACCTTTTCAGATTTGCTTTAATGGTATATGCAATTTCTATGATTGTGCTGGAGTTGCCCTTTCTTTCATTCTTTCTCTTCCCTT